AGCTACGCTTGGACCCGACCGCTCCCCCCTTTCGCTGAATAGTCCCGCCCATCCAGGCCTCAGCAGCCTCTAGAGCACTTCCGGTCCGGCGTATTAATTCTTCCCTCCGATTACTAGCCCTCGACGCAAACGGTCCGGCCTTTAATAAGAAACCGGAAATCAATAAAGATGCAGTTGACGCTGTGTGATATCAGTCCTTGTGTTGTTGTTGAGGAAATGCACCCCATAACTCCTAATGGACATTCTGGAGCATTTTGTGCGTTGTGTTCCTTCAAGTCCTTTCTGACTTATGGCAACCCTAAAACGAACCTGTCATGGGGTTTTCTTGGCAAGTTTCTTCAGAAGGGGTTTGCCATGGCCTTCCTCTGAGGCTGAGAGAGTGTGACTCGCCCAAGGTCACCCCGTGGACTAATCCCAGAGGACTAAATAAAAAGTGTAGTTGCTCTTTGATGTAGCTCTCTGTTTCGTGCTTAAGGATTGAAGCGGGGAGGAGGGAGAGAGGGGTTTTAACTAGATTTACCTCTACTGTGATAGCGGCAGCTTATATTTTACTGCCTCTTTTTAGTATGGCGAGTCATTTCCAACTTATGGCGACCCTAAGACCTTAGACCAGGGGTAGGCAACCTTTCCCCTTTAAGGGCCGAGGGACTTCAGCTCCCAGAAGCCTCAGCCATGTTGGCCAATAGTCCTATGTTGGTCAATAGCTCCTGGGATTCTGGGAGCTGAAGTCCCTCGGCCCTTAAAGGGGAAAGGTTGCCTACCCCTGCCTTAGACCCTATTGTGAGGCTTTCTTGGAAAGTTTCTTTGGCATGTGTGTGTGGCCATTGCCATCCTCCAAGGCTGAGAGAGTGTGACTTACCAGGGTCACCCAACTGGTTTACATGGGCAAGCTGGGATTTGAACCCTGGCTTCCAGAGTCCTAGCCTAACACTCAGACCACTAAGCTACACAGTCTCGCTCATATATAATTTATTTTCTTATGTCCAGCCTTTCTCCCAATATAGGGACTCATGTAGCAAAAAACAGAATCTGAAGTCCATACTGTAGTGATACTTTAACAAGCATCTTTAACAACAGTATCCAGACAATGCCAGGGTCATTAGATGTTGCAGACTGCCAGAAAAAGTGCAAATTCAGTCCACTTTTAGGGTTAGGGTTAGGGTTAGGGTTAGGGAATCATGGGAACTGTAGTTTATTGTGGCACTAGAGCTCTCTGACAGAGAAGGCTCAATGTCTCAGAAAAAAAACAATCCCCATGATTCCCTAGCTCTAACCCTAACCCTAAAAGTGGACTGAATTTGCACTATTTCTGACAGTCTGCAACCCCCCTAGTTACTTAACTGAATAGGTGATCTAGGATTCTAGCAAAAAGGTTTAATTCAGTGTGATCCCTGTTATTGCCACAGAATTAGGAAAAGTCCCACCCAAAGGAGGGTTGGCTACAGGCCCTAAATGCTCCAAAGGCCACAGACACTGTTCTGGAATCTTGCAGGCTAGGCAGGGTCGGCCCTGTTTAGTATTTGGATGGGAGAACACCAATGAATACCAGGCGCTGTAGCTTGTGTTTTGTAGACAAAATCACCTTTGCCTAAGAAAACCCTATGAAATTCATGGGGTAGCCATAAGTTGACAAACAACTTGAAGGTACATTCATGCACATTGCCACAAAAAGACTTTGGACTTTGTTTTCAACATGACTTCAGTTAAGACTTACTACTTAGAAGACAATAACATCCAAACAATGATATCTTTATTGGGCCAAACAAAATGCACAATTACATGATTCTCTGAAGATGCCAGCCACAGATGCAGGCGAATTCTTTGAGAACATGGCCTAACAGCCCAAAAAAACCCACAAAAACCTATGGATGCCAGCTGTGAAAGCCTTCGACTTTTTCTAGAGAACTCTATGTTCCCTGGCACAACTCTATGGCCAACCTCTGTCAGAACTGCGCTGGAAGATTTAGAGATTCCTAGAGAGGACATTTTAATCAAAACCGCAAATAATCAAATCCGCAAAAGTCAAAGCCGCAAATGTGGAAGGCCCACTGTAGTTTTCAAAGAAGTAGCCATATTAGTCACTTGCAGCATAAAAAGGAAAGGGTAGGGCGGAGAGAAAAAAGCACCATTAAGACTAACTTTTATTTTAGCATGAGCTTTTGTGGATGTCAGTCCAGTTTTTGTGATGCAGTATTGAGTGGTATTAAACCCTCAGGTTGCAAACCATATGTATATACATGTGGGACTGGGATGGAATGCAACAGGATCCAGAAAGATGCCAACCATGACCTTCATCCTACATTTTCAAAGGGCTGAGTGAGGTGATAAAAGTCTTTCAAATACTTACAGTGGTCAATTAGTGTTGATGCATAAGATCTGTATTTTAATAGATTTTAAAAAAACAAAACAATAACCATAAATCCAAATAAAGCAGGCAAGGTTTCCTCTCTCTGCCCCATCACTTTGAAATAATACCAACATCCAATTAAAAAAAAACAACCCAAAACAAATAGAAGCAACTAGATAGGGCTTTTCTTCTGGCCAGGAAAGCCCATATCTTTTTCTCTCTATGGTCTAATCAGCACTGCAGAAATAATGCAGCTTGATACCACTTTAATCGCCATGGCTCAATGCTATGGAATTCTGGGAATTATAGTTTTGTGAGATATTTAGCCTTTCTGTCAGAGAGCTTTGCTTCCTCAACAAACTACAAATCCCAGGATTCCATAGCATTGAATCCTGTTAAAGCAGTGCCTAATGGCTTGTACTTTTAAATGTTTCATGACAGAGGACCATGCAAATCTGAAAAAAGCTTCACCTGTTGGGTTTCTATATGCTTTGCAGTTTTTAAATGAAGGTTGTCAGATTCTTCCCTCCCTTCCTTTGTTTTGTAGCACCTCTATAACAATATGCCTTTTTCCTCAATTCAAAGTACTGTATTCCCATTCATGGCCTTTACAGTAAAATAGCATCAGATGATCTTGTTGTGCTCCTCCAAGTCATTTCTGACTTATGGCAATTTCTTGGCAGATTTTGTTCAGAGGGGGCTTTGGTGTTTGCTACCTCTGCAACTTTGGGGTTATTCAGACGATGAAAATAATCCAGGTAAAATCTGGACTGAATCTTTGCTGTTCACATGCATTTTGAATGCATCCAATTCAGGGGAGTGTTTTTGCCAAAAATCCCGCTTAACCTGAGATAATTGATTTTAGGTATTTTTCCAAGTTTTTTTAAAAAAAGATTTACATCATCAACTGTGTGAAGAACCGATGTGAATAGGCTTGGGATAAACCGGGATAAAACTCTTCATGTCTTGAACATGCTTCTAATACGTTTGCATCATTGACTCCATCTTTATGCAAGTGCTGGCATGTGTGAGCAACAGAACTCACAGAGATGCACAGAGATGCGGTTCCATAGTGTGAACAACAGAACCAGAATGCACAAATAAAATTATTTGTATTGTTGTGCTAAAAAAAGTCTGAAGAGTGTGACTTGCTTAAGGTGCATCTGAGGAAGCAGACATCAGTCTAAGAAAACTCATACTGCCAACTTCTTTCTTTCAGGTCATCTCAAAGGTGCTACAAGATTTCTCTACAAACTGTATAATATAGACTGGGAAAAAGTTTTGAGCTTTATAATCGGTATCAGTAATGAAATCTTTGTTGTAACCCGCCTCGATTGTTGAGCAGAGGGGCGGGCTATAAATAAAAATTATTATTATTATTATTATTTAAGCTCCAAATAACAAAAAAATAACAAATCCAGCTTATAAGGCAAGATGGTTTAGGCAAACTTTGGTGAAAGGAGATCTCTAAAAATAGGTATTATAGCCAGATATGATTGCCTTTAGAGCAGAGTGCCAAGTGCTGGGAAGCTCAAAAATTTCTCAACCATCAGTGAAAAATGCTGTGATCACTGCTGCCATCTGCTGGGCATTTAGTGAAAGAGTAGGAGCTATACGATTTTCTTTTATTATCTACTTACAGGCATCTTTATCCTGTGTTCATCAGTCCCTGCGTTAGTCTAAATTAGACTCTCATTTCTAGATTCTTGAAATAAAATCACTTAATAATGAATGTATTATATGAAGGAACTCTTCTAGGGTTTTTTTTTTAAATGTAAGGCTGTTATTAATACTCGAAATAACGTATTATAAAGCAGCATCAAATTAAGTACTGAGTTATATTTTAATAAATTATCTTTAAAAATATTTATACTGCACATTATGTATCATTCACACAGCACCCAAATATGCTTACAAAGCAGTATAAAAACCATAGCAACTCAATAAAACAACTATGGAAACCAGATATAAAAGATACACTAAAAGGGATGCTGTTTTAAAATGTTCATTCAAAATGAATTAAAATTAGCTCAAAAACTTTTTAATTAATTATACATTAGGGATGTGTGTGTTTTCTTCTGCAGGTACCTGTGACTAGCATCCTCAAGAGAGTCCACATTTAAACACAGTATCTGATTAAAAAAAACTCGGCACTAGATTGGAGACTTAGGAATCCTTCTTGGATAAGATAATTGACAATACTGATAGACATATTTCCAAAATTTGAAAAGAAATCCTATTATGCTGCAATGGGTTAAGGGGGAAAGAAACTGAACTGAGTACACACACAAAAGGGTTCCTCTGTAATGGGAGTAGCAGAGAAAGATCTAAAATGAAGTCCAGTTATTAGTACCTGCTGGAATAGACTACTGAATAAATGGGAACCTAGAAGCCCTTCTCTTGATTCAGTGAATTTGGGACAATTGAATTGGTCCAGATATTTCTGTCCTTAAAGCTATATGGCTGTGGGTTGAGCCTTGCAAGAAAGCAACCAGAGAACTTTACATACACTGCTGTTGTTAATTGCAGTCAAGTTAACTTCAACTTATAGCTACCCTATGAATGAGAGACCTTCAAATCATCCTGTTGTCAATAGCCCTGATCCGGACTTGCAGACTCAGGGCTGTGGTTCCCTTGATTGAGTCTACACACCTGCAGTGTGGTCTTCTTTTTCTATTGCCTTCCACCTTACCAGGCATTAATGTCTTTTAAACTAGCCTTGTATTCTTATGGAGAGTTCAGGCCTGATTTGCTGTAATACCCATTTATTTGTCCCATTAGACATACTGCTTTGAGTTTTCTGTGTGGCATGTGCCTAGAATAGTCACCCTTTTATACTATAGCTCCCACAATCCCCTAACCAACATGGCCTGCTATTACAGTTTTTTTTTCCAAGTTCTGCACACACATTCACAATGGAGAATGGGCACAGCAGAGGGCAAATCTAATCACTTAGTGATATCTCAGGCCTTCACATGTGAGAAAATTTTATGTTACGCATCCAATAGCAATAGCAATAACAAGCACATTTCTATACCATTTATCATTGCACTTAAGCACTCCCTAAGCAGTTTACAATATGTAAGGTAATTGCCCCCAACAAACTGGGTACTCATTTTAGCAACCTCGGAAGGATGCCAGGCCAAGTTGAGCCTGAGCCCCTGGCTGGTATTGAAGGAGATTATCGCACTGAGTTATAATATGGCTTACCTGAGCTGGCTTAAAATTAGAAGCGGGTGGCATTCTGATAGTATCACACACATTTAGCTGCTGAAATCACTACCGGGCTGCAGCCCGGCTCCATTGCTGCTCCTTGCACCTCTTT